AACAAACAAACAGCAAACAAAACAAACGCAAACAAAACAAAACGGGGAAAAAAAATCTAAGATGACCTGTCACGTGGTTTTTTCGGCGCCACCGCAACAACAATACCTTTTTTTTTTTTATTATTATTATTTTATTTTTTATTATTATTATTATAACCATTTCCAAGGTCTTCGAGATCGTATTAACAGTCTCCAGCAACTTAAAACTTTTCTAATAATAATAATAATGATGATGATGATGATGATGATGATGATGATAATTTGCACGAAATTTTTTTTTTTGTTTTTTTAAAGTTTAAAATTTAAAATTTAACGATTTAGGAAAAGGAAGGAAAAGTTATGTCAGAGGTCAATGAAAAATGTAACCTTCTCCTCCCCCCCCAAAAAAAAAAAAACATTTCGTTTCGCTTATGTTTGTTTTACTCTATGAAAATTCGAACCGGGATTGGAAAATTAATAAAAATTTATTTTCGCACGGTGTAAATGTTTCTCTCTCTCTCTCTTTGTCTGTCTGCTACTCTTTTTCAATTCTTTCTCTAGGCTTCTTTTTTGTCTCTCTTTTACAGTCTCTCTCTCTTTCTGTTTGACACACACACATACACACACTCTCTCTCTCTCTCTCTCTCTTTCACGCACACATACACACTGTCTCTTTCACACACGTATACTCTCTCTCTTTTTATTGCACTCTCTCTGCATATCCTTCTTTTCCTTTCTTTCTATCTTCTTCTATTTCTTTTTTCCCTTTGTCTCTCTCTCTCTCTCTCTCTCTCTCTCTCTCTCTCTCTCTCTCTCTCTCTCTCTCTTCGTAAGTAAAATCAATTAAAATATATTGCCACGCGTAAATCTCACACATTATCGTCAATATTTTATCAAAAGTCGAACCGTCATGATTGATAATAAATAGAATGGTTACGTAAACGCATTATTATTATTATTATTGTCTTCGTTGTCGTCGATGTTTGTAATTAATCGTCCTAGTGTTTTTGTTGTTGTTGTTTGTTGTTGTCGTTGTTGTTGTCGTCGTGTCGTAAAATTTTTTTTTTATTAATTTTAATTTTATTTTACGTTTCCATGCATGTCCCCACATGCGTGATTACAAGAGGGAAAAAAAAATCCGACTAGAAAATCGAACAATTGTTTTTTTTTTTATTTACATGCGTACGTATCACACCCGCACGCACCAACTCAAACACGAAAACAACAACAACGAAACTGAAGGGGGGAGGAGGAGAAGGGGGGAAACGAATTTAATAATATTGTTATCAGATACCGCCATATTTATCCAGTCGTTAAGATAAAATAAAATTATAATGTAATTAATAGGTATTAACGTGTCTTTAAATACCGAACCGGATACGCATTTATTTATTTATTTATTTATTCGGGAAATTGATTTTCGTACACGCACACGCACGGCCGCAAGGGGGGTGGACCCTCCCCCGATGTATTTTATGATACAAAAACTCGACAAACGTACTTACTACACACGACAAACGCGTACCTTAGTGAAATTATTTTTCATTTACTCGTTATGTAAAAACAATTACCAACGACCGTTAAAATGAAAATTATTATTATCATTATTATTATTATTACATTTTTTTTCGCATCACGGTACGTGACAAAACGGTGACAACGAATTACAAAACCGCCGGAAAAAAAAAATTGTAATAATCAAAACCGTTACGCGAAAATCGTGGCAATAGAAAAAGAGTAAAAGAGAGAGAAAAAGAGAGAGAGAGAGAGAGAAAGAATTTGTTTTTGTTTTCTACACCTGCATGGGTTTTTTAAAACGGCCATTTTTGCATTTTCGGTGGTATCGTTATATGGAAATTTGTTTTTAACGGTTTTTTTTCGTCTTCTTTTCTATTATTGCCATTATTATTATTATCGTTTTTATTATAATAATTGTTGTTGTTATTATTTTAATTTTATGTCCTCCCACCTTTTTTTTTTTCATTAGGCGAAGGTCGGAATTTGTTTTTGTTTTTTTTTTTTGTTTTCTTTCTCTATGGTATTGTGATGTAAATGGCAACGTGGCAGACAGACGACGTACTTATCAACTCTATATATATATATATATGTGTGTGTGTATATAAAATGCTCCGTTCACGTCTCCCTTAAAATTCTTTTGGAAATTTTATTTGACGGTTCCGACGATTAAATTTAAACGATTTTTAAAATCATTTAAAAATTTTATTTCAGGGTCGCGAGTTGTTAATTTATTCAAATTGTTGTTTTTTAACCTTGGAAAAACTTTTAAAACTCGTTCTTTTAACGGTTCTTTTTTTTTTTTAATATTTATTTCCATGGAATAATAAACCTGTTGATTTTTCTACTTGACGAGATGTCGTTCAAACATTTCTCAAAAAGATTTTTAATTTTCCTTCTACCTCCCTCCCTCCGTGGCCCCCCCTCGTTTTCACCATCCCCCCACGATGTTATGTCGTCAAATTTAAAAAATCCCCGGGGAATAATAATAATAATATTATCGTTATTATTATTATTATTTTACAACGTTTTATTTGACATTGAAAAAAAAAAATTTTTTTCTATCTCTCTTTCTCTTTTCCTCTCTCTATCTCGTTTGTTCGATACGAAACACTTGTCTGTTGTTGTTGTTGTCGTTGTCTTTACTTCCGACATGTGTCGGATTTTTTATTTAATCCTTTTCACACGTCGTAAATTTGCTACTCGTAATTATTATTATTATTTTTTATTTAAACGAGTCGCCTTTGTTTGTTATTTGGAAAAACAAACGAAAAATGTTTGTTATTAAGTAAATGTTTGCGTGTGTATGATTTCAGCGGAAAATACGCGTTTGAGATGGCGATAGGGATAGGGAAACGTAGCTTTCGTGAAGGCGGTGGTGATGGTTTTCGTAAATCAAAGAGCAAATCATTAATACGATGATGATGATGATGATGATGACCCTGTCGAATGTTTCTCACGTATACGGGAATATTCATAGTTTTTTTTTTTTTTTTCTCGAAAAATATATGAGAAGATCCCGAAGGAATCCACTGGAAACACTTGTCGTTGTAAAATCCACCACGAGAGAAACTTATTGACGATCCCGAAATTAATTCGGTGAGAAAAATAAAAGGGAGAAAAAAAATTAATTTTCACGTTTCGCGCATGTTTAACTTATGAGAAAACCATTTCGATTCGTTATACATATATTTTTTTTTCCTTTCCCTAAATGTTATTTTTGCCCCATATTTAAATTCGGTTTATATATGTATATGTACATATACGTGTGGTTAAACGAGGGGTTCAATACCGAATCGATGTAAGTCACGAAACGAGTCAATTCCATCCGTGAAAAAAATAGGAAAATTACGCGACGTGCGATGACGTCATCGAGAAAAACCGCCAAAAATTTAAAAAAAAAAAAAAAAATTTTTTTGAAAAAAATCGAACGAAAACGATCGCGGATCGGGTAAAAATGTCGCAAGATGTCCGACAAACTCT